CTACTTAGTTGCAGATGCTAAGAGAAAGTCATACTATAGGATGCCTGTTCTAGACAGTCCAATTAGGGTTAGATTATTTACTTAAATGGATAATATTGATAAAAGATATTTGAGAAAGACTCATCTTTATTTTGTTTTTAACAAACGCATAAAGAAATACAAGTATGCTCATAATGTCAGTCATTTTACAAGCAGCTTATTTGAATAAACTGAAATTCCAGAATTGTCCAATAAACAAATTAACAAGAAACTGGAGTGCATACCTTTACAATGCCCCTTATGAGACCACATTTAAAATCACTAGATCAATATTTTTATTTGGATCTGCACCCCCCTTCACACACTCATAGATTTTTATCATCAAGACACATGAATTATTCTCTGAGAAATCAAGTTAAATGTGAAAAAAACATTCCTCGATCCGTCCCCTAATCTGGATCCAGACCAAAGTTTTATAGGTTCACTCCTGACCCATACTGCATCCTGCCACCAAGTTTTGTCGTAATCCGTTCAGAAGTGCTCTTGTATACAAACAACCAACCAGTGAATAAATGGACAGAGGCGAAAACATACCGTCCTTGGTGGAGATAAATCACAGAGGACCTCTGAAAAGCTCTGACTCATTGATGACGTCGCCTTGAAGAATAGTATGATAAATCAGCGAGGCCACACACCACTTCCCCTGCAGGCCTGTTTACCATGCGTCGCTTTTAGATCACAATCACGGCAATTACATCTTGAGCCCATTCTGATGTCTTATTTTTATCCCTCCTCCGCTGTTTTTCTCAGTTGCCAAAAGGATTAGGAACTTATCTTTTAATACCGTTCCAACGTCAGCTCTGCACGACTCGAGGTGGTACGACTTCCAGCGCCAGTGTTTGGGAACTCTTTCAGGTCACAGAGGAAGATATTTGTCCTTTTTCACCGCTGTTGTTGATGTGGCAGAAATACCAGCAGTAGTTTGCGGGTGGTGGGGGGGGGGGGCTTTGATACGTGGGTGGTGAGTTGAGCATCTAAATCAACCAGAGCCATTGGGCTGTTTGGTTTTATGAGTTGCGAGACCTTTGCCGCTGCATTCAGACACTTTACTCTGAGGTCACCGAAAACAGATTAGAGATCACACCAGTGTGTGACCTGGGCTCGCCACTGTTACGCCAGCGCACCGGTGATTTATAGAGTTAATGAAAGCATGACATCATGCATTAAATTAGCCTGCTGTTAGCCTCCCCTAACCCTGTAAGTGGTAACATGCACGCTATCTACCTAAGCAAATTAGCGTTTGCCGGTGATGCAGAAACATAGAGCAGAGCTTTTTCGCCAGAACATCAGTCGATTGTTAATTACAAATTGCACAACATGTGACACATGTGTTTTGTACTGAAGCCCTGTTTAAGCAACCAAAGAAGACAGGGAACACTTATCGACTAAGGTGAGATTACCGAGTAGCCCTCCTGGGCCTGAACCTATTCATTAGACTGAATCTTCTTACTGCGTAAACAATGGTTTATGACTGAGAAGCATAAACAGAGACTTTAGACAGCCAGCAATCACGCTCTGTAAGGATTCAGCATTTTGAAATTTTGCAGATGTAGTCTTTAAGGCCTTGTTAACAAGACACATTTCCTAAGAAAGATTGTTGGCCTTTTTGTTCTCACGAAATTATCACTTGCACGAAGGTGGCTGTCATGGTGTCCTTGCTCAGAGATGGAGCAAAACAAGAAATACGAGAAAAATGAGGCAATGAAAGAGACTCGAACCTTTACTAAAAACTAAAAAAGGACACCTCATCATTCATACCTCTGTGTTATAAGCAGCGGGTGGAAACAGGTCATTGTGGTCAGTCAAGCAGAAAGGAAAAGTCTGGGATGTTATCAAAGTCATAGATCTTAACATAACGGCCCAGGCCTTAGCAGCCTCATATATGCACGGCAGCAAACATTTAGCAGCACAGTGTCACATAGTCAAAGAAGAAAAACACTTACATAATGAGAGCCCACCACTCCTCCCTTTCTTTAACACTCCCCTGGGCAACATAAAGGAGAGAAAGGACATCTTTGAAACAGTGGACAAGAGACTGTCTGTCTCTCTAACACATTTACCTAAGGGAGTCATACAAGAGCTTAACAGTGCACTTTAACTCAGATCCTGCAGTGGTCGATTCTTTAACGCCGGATGGCTTCTGCCCGGCTGCTCGTAAAAAACCTTTTGACCTTCTCTTGCCTTCTTCAACAACTCCTCTGATTATCCGACCTGCGTGTGGACGAGATGAAGGGTTCACTGGAACGGAACCATCGTCTTCTAATTCCATTACTGGAGAACAAAGCCACTCTGTGTTACGGTCATATCATAAATACAAACTCAGGCATAAGTTGAAACAACGTCAAATACACTTCCACCCTATAAAAATCTCTTAAACAAGACCCTGAGCGCCTGTTAAAACATAGAGCCATGTTTTCTGACCCAGTCATGACTAGGCCTATTTGTTCCAGCGGCTCAGAAAGCGTTCGCGCTCCCCCAGGTCATGGCCAAACTTCTCATATTTATGTTAGCTAAACTGTAGGCTGGCAGGCTAATTCACCGGTATGTGTTTTCATTAAGTCTCTGGGGGCCCGGGTAGCGCTCCCTCACTAACGCAGCTCCACTGAACTCCGACCCCGGCTTTAATGGGAGGGCTGGCAGAGAAAGAGGGTCAAGTCTTCAGAGTGGGCTCACTTAGACTTAAGGTAACAATTTGAGGAGGCAAAACAGGTTATGTAACCTTGTTGCTGGACACTAATGACTCGGCAGTGCCTGAGGAATGTCCACTCTCAATAGGTCCCTTTTACATTGGTTGCTGTTTGTGGCAACAAAATTGGCTTTGGTATGGTAAGACTGGACCAATCCTGCTCTATGTGATACATAAGGACTATTTGGGGCATATGACCAACCACTGGCACTGTGCTCAGCTATGGGACATAAAGCCAACTCAGAGGAACGTGTCATTGTGTCATCTTTCTTCACGCCTTCCCTTCCCTTTCCTTCCATCACATCAGCAAAAATACTCATCTGTTCATTTAAGGAAAATGCAGTTGAGAGGCTGGTATGAGTCTCTCCCTTCTTTAGGGAAAGTATGTGCCTGTAATGATGATACCAAGTGTGCCCAACAGAATGAGTCATTAACCCACAGATATTTGTCAATCATTTATTACCTCCGCCAGGGAGATCATGTTTTCACGCATGTCTGTTTGTTTATTGGTTGATTTTTTTGTTCGTTATCAGGAATATGCAAAAACAACTGAATAGATCACCATAAATAATTTTGTGGAGGGGAGGGACTTGACCCAAGAAAGAGTCGATTAAATTTTGGTGCAGATCTGGGACTGTTGGGCCTTGTCTTAGGGATGCGCTCTACTCAGTGTCATTCTTGTTTGTTTGTCTTTAAAAAGAATTACACAAAAATTAAAGGACAGATTACAACAAAATTTGCTAAAAGGGTGCAATGTAGGTCAGGAATTTTTGGATTATGGTGCAGATCCAGATCAGATGGTGGATCTGGGAGTTTTTTAATCACTTGCTTTAACATTGCGAGATAGGACGTTGTTTCTTTGACATTTTCATTGTTGTCCCTGCAGGGAAAAATTATTGGACCCTGATGAAAAAAACAAAATAGTTATTTGACGTAGCCCTCAATGGCAATGACTTCCTGCATGGGTCTTGGTTTTATTTGCCCATTGCTACACGTTACGACAATGTTTTTGAGGAAGGCAAACATCTCACATGGTCTCATATGTTCTCCTCTGTACACGAGGCGTAAACTGAGGCCAAACCACAGCCTCCACCACCAGTTCCTTTATTGTCTGGGAATGACTCTCAGCTGTGTGTGTGTGTGGTGTGTGTGGTGGTGGTGGTGGTGGTGGTGGTAGTGGGGGGGTTCTGTTTAGTTAAGGTCAGCGCAGGCCCTGGTCTCCTAACAGCTTCACAGTTTTAGCTTCAACAAGCCCTTGGAGCTTAGGTGACACATTTCCCATGGCATCCAGGCCTTTCTTCCCCACACTGGTCCCCTCTGCAGGCTGTAAATACCAACACTAATGTCTCCTTACTGGTCTGGTCTTTGATTTTAACTATCCACAATACAGGCTAACTAGTGGTAACATGTTTTCTATTTCTAATTTACAGTTAATATTTTATGGAGAGAAACTGAAGCACTTGTGCATCAACATCTCTGTGTTGAGTGATGAATGGTGTGATGGGATGCTTTGAATTCTTCTTTAATGGCACGCAGGTAGACAAACAACTCTCCCACACATTATGAAATAAGAAAACATGTGCAGAATGCTCTCATAGCCCAAGGGCAGATACAAATGAATGGCTGAGCATTGTGTGGGAAAAAAACAAATCAAGTCTCACCTGCAGCAAATCCAAGTCCAAGAAGGAGCAGGAAAAACCCCACCAAAGGTCCCACATCAGAGATGTTCAAAATGTTGGATGGATTGGTTAACATAAGTAGCTTAATAATTTGCATTCAAAACACATTTGAACTCTTCTTTATTAAATCAAAGTTTATTTGTACAGTAAACATGCCAAATGCCAAAATCTAAACTGATAAAGATTAGTTTTATTGGTAATTAATAAGTATTTACAGAATCATTATAATAATAAGATAGATAGATAAAAACATGTAAATAGAAAGACAGACGGATAAAAACCTGTAGATAGATAGATAGATAGATAGATAGATAGATAGATAGATAGATAACAACATGTAAATACATAGATACAAACTTATAGATAGATAGATAGGAGGGATGCTCATGTTTAATCATCTACTGAGTTTTGATTATTTCATCACATAAGTCATACTAATAACTCTCATACTGAAACTTATGATAACATATAAATGTTTGTTTATATTAGTGTACCTGCCCTAGTATGTGCCCTGAACGCATCACTCGCCAGCTGGCTCCGTCCTCCTCTGCAGATCCATTGGTCCTCCGCAGCAGCGCGTCATCGCAGGGGGGCTGGTCCTCTGGTCCTGGACGAGGAGTTTATTGTCAGGAATGTGTAGTAGCGCTCAAACTCAGTTTACCGCACCGACTCCGTCTGTCTGTCTGTGTGTCACGCTCCCGCAGGGCATCATCCTCTCGTTTGGAGACGTGCTCCGCCTGGATTATCTCCCGGTGCCTTCACACAGCTGCTGTTCACCCGATTTCCTCTTTGTCATGCAAGTTTTTACTTGATCATAGTAGAAAGTCCACTTTGTTGCCAGTCCATTGGTTTTGGCGAATGAAGATTGTTTTGCTCCAAGACGCGACTTCAATGCTAGACTCAGCCACGATGAGCAAAAACGGAATGGTGACCAAGATCCACACGAGGATAAGAAGTGACCCGTTCCCGGCCAGTTACGAGTTGGTGGGCAAAGAGCTGGGCAGGTGAGTTTGAGTAAAAGAATCATCTTTGTAAACTGGGTTTGTTCGTGCGCTCCCTGGCAGACCGATTTACTGACTGGACTTTGGCACAATGTCTTGATGAGATTATCTGCTAATCACGTCAGGTTTGTTCTGTGCACGTGTTGATGGGGAGAGGGTTAATTGAACATTTCCATTCCCGCATTCCAACCTGAGTTAAGGGAAAGGCGCTGGTGGAGCCACGCACCAAGAATGCGTAATGATGGTAATGCGCTCCTGCTCCTGGCTGAGAAGTGCTGGGACTCTTGTGATCTTGTGATTGTGAAGAATGAGGTATAGAGTTTTGTGGGTCGCCTTTTCCCCACACTATTCTTATGTCTGACAACTGAAGACAGAATGTAGGCATAATTTTCTTCCTTGTATTTTGAAACTGCGAAACCTGTGTCTCTGTTTGTGTTGCTGTCAACCTCTGTGGTCCAGTAGATGTCCTTAAATGCCACAAGCTGCGCTTCAATGTTATTTCTGAGTCACATTTTGAAGTGTGATGTAATGATGCAAAATATACAACACGAAGAGAAATCCCCACATGGAAACACACTGTACCCCTTGTGGCTTTTGGAGATATTTTTAATTTTAAAGTTATTACTAAGGCAGTGTATATAGTTTTCTGTTCCTGTCATCCAGGATATGCAAGATCAAATATACCATGTGCCATCCTCCAATTTATCACTGTGTAAGTGTGATGTTAGATTACCAAGTATTATTAGAGATAACTATGAAAACATTGAGTGTCCCTTATGGCTTTAGGAGATATTTTTGATGCAAGTTAGAACACAGTCTCTAAATTTATGTGCCTGTCTTTGAGGATCTAATGTACCATGTACCATCAGCCGCTTTTCTCCCTCTCTCTCTTCAGTCAAACGCATTAGAGTTGCCACACTGACTGACTGACAGACTGACTGACTGACTTACGTGCACATTCCAGTGCCACTTAAGCTGGGATGTATGCCAGGCAGTAATGACTTCCACCCAGAAAGTTTTTTTTGAATCGAGACGAAAAACTGCAGTGGGTTCCGCTTAATGCAACAGCTGTTTGATCCCCACTCGATCCAGTTCTGCCTCTGCCCCAGCAACAACTCCACTTTTCATTAGTCTGCTGCCGCTCCATACTGTGATGGGACGGGCTAAATAAAGAGTCCATTAGGAGCAGTCAGTTTTCCTTGTCGGACACCCTAGGACATCCTGGGACAGCCGCCAGAACCCATAGTGGGGGTGGATTGGCTGGGGGCCGCCTGTGAAGTTTAGGCCACCCTCCCCTCACCCCCAGACCTCAACCCTTCATCCTTCTTCCCTCCTCTTCTCATGACTCCCAACCCAACAACATCCTGAGATCAGGCCTCATAATCGCATTAAGGGGAGGAATGTATGTAGCGCTGCATGCCAGGAGATCAGCTATGTAGTCTGTACATTAGGATGGATGTTGATCACATTTTAACCAGTAGGTGGCTGAGTTGTATTATTCCTCCTGTTGCTGCTTTCATCTCTCTTGAAGCTGAGAGAAACAAAATAAAGCTCATCTGCCTTATTTTCTTCCCATCATCAAGCTTTGCATGATGAGCTGTCCTCCCCTGCAGACCTGTTTACAATAAAAATGTTGCGGTCAACTCGAGAAGCAGGAAAGGAACTCTTGTTGTGTGTCAGTCTGTCTGTGTGGCTGTCATTTCTCACTGCATGTCAGATGTGAGTCAGTGTCCCGCCGAGAGAGAAGAAAACGCAGACACCACAGGAAATGGGGTTTCTCAATCTACTTATCACCATCTCCACTGCTGGAGAGGAGTTTGCTTTGTGTGCAACAGTGAAGTTGATGAATGATGACAGGCTGAGGACGACCTTGCAAATGAGCTGTTTGATGCACATCACTGTACTTGGATGTTTGAGAAAGTGTTCATTAGAGTTTGGCTATAACTGTGAGCTTGAAAGGAAAGAAACATCATGCATGAAATATAACATTAAAGCCCCATGATGTTTTGTATGATCAGGAGATTCTGTGCATCAGCCTAGAAAGAGTGTGAACACAGCCGGCTGGACAACAGCCATGTTTAGTAACCTCTGACCTGTTGTCAGCCTTTGAAAGGCCTCCCGTTGCTCCTTTCCGTCGCCAGCGGTCATTCCTTTTCACTCCATATGTAGTTCCCAGCCCACAGTGAGCTGCTCTGAACTTGACTAATTAAGGATGAAAAGGCTCTGACGGGTTTTGCCTTTTCATTCTGAACAATGAGTCGTCACCATTCTCAAGACTGGGAAAAGGCAGAAGGAGAAGGAACAGGCCCCACAGCGTGCAGGCCGGGGCGGCAGCCAAAACAGGGCAAAGGCTCCGGCCAGAACAGTTGCTGTTTTTGGTCTGTGCAGCGCTGTGAGCTCGAAGTAACACTTTGTGGAAAAATGACTGGCACCATGCTGACTGGACCTCTCGGCCACTTCATTTAGATTCTGCAGGGTGCAGAGACATCTTTTCACACCCAATGTTCATTTTATCAAGGCTTTTCCAAGTGCATCTGGTTTGTAAAGCTTATTAAAACAATTGGATATAGATGTTGAGGCTGCAATATCCATTCTGGCATGCTGCTCAGGCTCCAACCTGACTGTAACAGCAGTGACCCCCTGCCTGGCCTACCCCAGCCGTGGTCAGGTGGGTGGTCCTGGTCTCGGAGCGGCTGAGTTAACCAACTGGTCAGCTTTTGTACGACTGTCAAAAGGAGAGGAAGGCTCTGGCCAAGGGTCTGGGCGGAGGCGTTGACACAATTCCATTTGTCCGTGCTGCTGTCAGCTGTAAAGAAAAGGGAAACAGACAAGGCCTCATTATCAGCCTGGGAGGGATGGCTGGTGATAGTGGTCGGCTTGACACAGAGGCAATTCTGCACACATCGGACATCCTGCCCACACCCACGGCTGACCTTTAAAACCTCCCGTGAATCCATCAGTGTAAATGCAGAAATATGAATGGCAGCAAGGAGGTTGTTAGAGCGGATGTTCTGTTTTATGTTCTGTTCTGCAACATCCAGCAATCAAACTGTTGCATCTCTTTGCTTTTGCTCGACCTGTAAAGTGGCATCAGCCTTATTGGGTCCCTGCCCACGGTTCAGCAGCTGCCGCCAAAACTGTCAACCTTATCTCCCTGCTGTCAGACCCTCCTGAGGGCTAAGGGAAAAGGAGGAGAGAGAGCGTAATCTTTTACCGAATGCCCAATGACGCCTCCTCAGCTGAGCATATCAGCGGTCAATAGCAGAGTCTGCATTTTTCAAACGATGGTGCTTAAACTTCTTATCTCTGAACTGTTGATCTCGCCTACACCCATTGCTCTGTGGGAATTTCCAAACGTCCTGCACTGTAATCTAGGTTTCGCCTCACAGCAGTTTAAACTGCGACGAGTGTGCAGTTTAAATGGCTTAAATGCGATCCAGTGGTCCCGTCGGCCACTTGGATGCAGAACAGAACCATCGCTGACCAAATCTATTTGAAAAGCCAGTGGTGTGGTTGTAATTATTCTGTCTCCTCACTAATCACTCTCTCGCTCTCTCCCCCTCTTTGTTGTTTCCCAGGGGAAAGTTTGCGGTGGTGAAGAAGTGCATCGAGAAGGCAACAGGGAAGCAGTACGCTGCCAAGTTCCTGCGAAAGCGGCGGAAGGGTGAGGACTGCCGCATGGACATCTTGAACGAGATTTCTGTGCTGGAGTCAGCCAAGGCCAACCCATATGTGGTGGCCCTGCACGAGGTCTACGAAACCAACACTGAAATCATCCTCGTCCTCGAGTGGTAAGCCAGTAGGCATTAGTGAAAAAATAAAACATGCCCTGCCACACATAAAAAAAGAAAACTAGAATGGCCCCTTAGTAGAGTGCTTAACTCCACCAAGGCACAAGAGTTCCCTTATTAAACCACTTTTAAATTCACTTTCTGCACCACATTGCACCAAATTCAAGAAATATCCATCCCCTAAACATGCCAGATATTTTTTTCATCTTTAATAATAGAGAAATAAACAAAAATGGAAAAAAAATCTACCCCCTGATGTAGATCTGCACCAAAGTTTAATGGGTTCTTTCCTGACCCATACTAAATCCTGCCAAGTTTCTTGGTTGTCTGGTTTTGCGTAATCCTGCCAGATAACAGACGAACACACAAACAAACACAGACCAAAACATAACCTCCTTGGTGGAGGTAATGATGTTGATAATTTAATGTCCTTTTAAACGTTCGAGGGCCACACCAGAAAAATCCTTTAATTACTCCATGTGAACTTTTCAACACTGGAGTTTTTCTCATGCAGAATGTCTGAGGGATCCATAACTGGCCTCAAATAATTCCATCAGTCATTTCTACTTCATAAGAAAAGTTTTTTTTCTCTGTGATTGGGAGACAAAATCTGAAATCAAATAACGATTGCGTGACGTCAGTGCGTATGGTTTTCTGTGTAAGTCCGCTTTTATCTGATCTGAAGGGGGAAAAAGACACTTCCTGGTTTAGTGTTACGTGCTACTTACTGAGAAAACTGCTCACTTGTCACTTATTTCCTGTCACCTCAAAGAAAGAAAAAAAACATACATGTGTGAAATGCACAGCCGTCACACTGCTATCACACTAACTCTGCCTTAAATGGAATTTTTTTTCTTTGCGGTTCACTGCTCATCTCAGCCTCGACACCTCTCTTTTTGCACTGAATGTTTACAGGAACTTTAAATACCAACGTGCTATAAGCGCACTATGCTTACTGTGTGAAAAAACAATATAGGGCAAGATGAGTCTTTTAAACTCTGCTGCTGTGAGAACCAATTCCTCAGTTCTGTGGATGGTTTGTTGTCTTTTGACATGCAGGTGATCTGGCTGAGAGAATCTGCTCGTTCAGTGACCCCAGCAAAGGTCGTCCCGGCTGTCTGCTGTTGCTCTGTTGTGGTTTGGTGTTAAATGCAATGATGTATCCAATCACAGCTTTTAATTGGGATTTTGAAAGGACACTTGGCGTCTTTATTACCTCGCTCGCCTCATTAGTAGGGAGATAACACCAGACAATTACACTTGAACCGCGGTAGCCTGACCCTGTTTCTGAACTGCTCGCTATACTCCAGCAGGAAGCAGCCTCCTGCCCAGACCTTGCTAGTCGTCCGCATCCCAGACATGGAATGCCTCTGCAGAACAAAAGCCTTTTCTGTAGGGCTGTGTTTGACCTCTGACTGAAGTGTGAAAGGGGAAGTAGCACCGCAGTTCACCCCTGCATGCCTGCAGAGAAAACACAGCAGGAGGTCGCTCGGCACCAGTCCGCAGTTCCTCTCCAGCTGCCAAATGGAGCTGCGGCCTGCACATGCATGATATTTTAGCAATTTTAAAAGCTTCGTTCTATATGTCAGTTCATTCTTTCGTCAGTTATAATCTTTAATAGTGTCATTCGTCCTTTTTAAAAACTGCAGTAACCAAGCAGCGAGAGTTTTTGGCTGAGAGGCTGCATCTCCAAAAACTGTCTGACCTCAGCATGAGTTTTCGAGAATCGCAAACCATTTTCCATTTCCTGTGGGTTTAAATGTAAGCAGCAAGCAAAACTCCCAAAAGTAGCACAGCGCCGTGCTCGTATAAAGTGTTGCACACACATGCCGACACAAACACATGCACTCATCATAACCACAGCCACATCCTTAGTGAACTGGAGGCAAGAAGTTGAATTTGAATCATCTTTAGATTAAGTGTAGCTCTAGCGTGTGTCAGTTTCACAGAAAACCACAGTGTGTGACTGATGTGAGAGATGGTCACTTTGATGAAAAAAGAACAGGCATCACCTCTGAGCACTTTTTTGTGCATATAGCCAAAGAAGATCACACTAATTAGTTTGTGTGCTTAAGGAAAGTGATGAACTTACAGAAACTACAGATTCAGCCCTTTACATTCCTGGTGTTCTGTAAATCTAAAGAGTTTCATATTCAAAAGGTATCATTTATTCAAAATTCGGTCTCCTTTTCATTACATATGCACCGCAGGACATCTCTGCACAACTCTCCTTAATATGGCCTGACTTGAATTTCATTAGATTTTTCTGTTTCCTCCTTTAGATTTGCTTTCTCTTCTTTTTTTAGAGAGCCATGTTTCATGTAAATTCCGATTTCAATATCCCTCCTTGCGTATAATGTAACCCGGAGCACTAATGTTCTCACCATCAGGGCTATAATTGGACTATAAAGGAACACAATCGCTGTCCAGAAAATTCAGCCAACAGACAGGTTACGCTTGTGGGAACTGGCTGCCAGGCTGCTGTGAGGGTGACGTCAATGATCACCCAGCCTGGTGGTCAGCCAAGAATAGCTTTGGGAAAAAAAACTAGAAAGGAGGTTGACTTGGTTTATGGCTAAAAGATAGAAAACTATATCTGCTTCTTCTTTTTATTCAAAGATTGAAGCTCGTCTGTAAGCTTGTTTTATGCCTGCTCTCGTGTTTGTGGGTATTATTGAGGTCTGGTGGGAGGATTTCGGGCCTACGCACTGAAGGAGTGAGCACATTAACTCTCCTGGAGGGAGGGATTGATGGGAGGATAGAGAGATGGAGTGAGGGAGGGAGAACGCAGAGACGATATTTAGAGTTCAGGGAAGTATAGGATCATTCTTAAGTGCTCGTTCAGAATGTGTGCACCCTGTTGAACTCAAACAAGATGGTATTTTATCAAGATTTTAAATCCTCTGGGGCGCTCTGCTGACAGCTTGAAACACAGGCCGCGTTACGTTGACAGATTTAAGGTTATTCTTGATTTAACACCAACTCAGCGAGGGGCACAGGTTTTTTTCCCCATTTCATTTTTTAACAATACACACATTTTTCATTTCCTCTCCCAAATGAAAACGCTAACACCAGGCTTGCTCGCATTTGGATTTCAGAGCAGATCAATATAAGCAGATTAAGTGCAACATTTTATTGTCCATCTCTGCTGCTCTTAAACTCTCTGGGGGTTGTTTGGTGGGTTTGAGCACGTTTGCAACAAGTAGGGTAGGTGGCAGGTCAAGTATTTTGCTGTTTGGAGCAAAGGGAAAGATTATAAGCAAGGATATCCTCGAAATCCAACAAAAAAACAGGGGCACTATTTTCACAGCTGAGGATAGTGAAGAGCTCAGGGTGGGCGGTTATGTGACGAGACATGCCCAGGGCCTAAAGTTGTCCTCTGAAGATAAAAAGCATGTGGGCCATCTAAATCCCCCACACATGGTTTTCATATTTTGGGTGAACTGTCAGCTTCAGGCACTGATCTGACTGACGGAGCTCCCAGCATAAGTCCACCATGTCTCCACTATTTTTCCCTAATGTTATTTCACAAGTGCAGCAAGACCGGGCAGGACTCTGACTTTTTCATGTGCAGAAAATGTGAGTCCATCCGGTTGTATAATTACTGAATTCCAAAAGAAGGATAATCCCTTTTATACAGTGCTTGTAAGTTGTTTAGAGCAGAAAACTATTCAGGCTGGGGCTCATTCAGAACAGTATCCAATTACCAACCACACATTTCTCTCCTGCCACCTTTTTCTGCACCTTCTCTGTCTTTTTTATGACTTAAAAACTGTAATTTTTTAAATGATGAATCATTTAACCCCCTTCTATTGCTGCCTTCCCTTTTTTTGATTTATTAATTTAACTTGCAATATATCAGTCCCATATAAGTCCTTATCTTAGCCTGCTGTCAGCTGATATGTCTGATATATCTCCAGTAATATTCCTGAGAAGGGGAAAGTACATGCTGAGGTTGGGGTCCTTAAATTATAATAATTTCTGTAGATGTGGATGTACTTTGTTCCTCCAAGGTAAAGTGCACTAATGAGGGGACAGGCTGTTACATAATCTCAAAGAAAGTGGAAATAATTTGGGCCTACAATCATACTGATGGTTTGGAATTCGCCATTGTCAACTTTCAAGCTCGGAGGAAGGGTGTATTTGTACGGTTTAAGGCAAAATTTATTATGACAAGTTAAGATGAATAATCAAAAATGAAGGTGAGCCAAACTAAACTCCCAGTTTTCCTTCCTGTGCTTTCCCTCCAGCGCCGCCGGTGGTGAAATCTTCAACCAGTGTGTGGCTGATAATGACGAGGCCTTCACAGAGAAAGATGTGATCCGGCTGGCCAAGCAGATCCTGAATGGGGTTGCCTTCCTGCATCGAAACAATGTGGTGCATCTGGATCTGAAAGTAAGTGCACTGAAACGTGATATGACGATGTAGGACAGTGCATTCCCCCGAGTGGCAGACTGGGGGAGATATGATTTCTGTTATGCAAGCACAGTTCATTCAGTGTGTTATGACCCCGTTCCCACGAGGAATGAGCCTGTGACGGGACCTCACTGCCCTATCATGTTTTATTTAATGGGCCCTGAGGTAACAAGGTCGTCATCATTGACGTTGTCTGTCTCAAAAAATGAACCTGGTTTCTCTTTACGTGTTATACAATTCTGTCAAAAGTGAATATGTGCCTTGAAAAAGTGCATGTGTTTTAAATTAAATGTTCAGTTCAAATATTCCAAGCCCATGGTTTAGCAGGAGTGACACTTTAAAACATTTTGGTGTTTAATAACACAGTGTGAGGCTCCTGTGGTTTGATAGACTTTGTGGCCCAAGCCTGAAGTTAGCTTGTCTTATCTCATATGTTCCAACCAACTGTGGCTCAAAGCCAGTTTGACCCAGAATGAAGCACAGTTAATGGTATACCACAGTATTTGCACACAAAAATGCATTAGGCACTTACTTGGCAGGAACACCGTACCGTTTTTCAGTATCGTCTGATAGGCTTAACGGATGATCTTAGCCCTGAGGAGCAGCTAGAACGCTGACTGACCAAACAGACCCCAGATCCTCTTGAGACCAGTTACCTCAAGCGCTTTAATGACCTCACATGTCAGTCCTCAGGCTCCTTGAATAGTCATCAGTCACATGTAGTAACGAACCTCTGTCTAACGTGTGCATGTTTCCACATCTCCAGCCCCAGAACGTCTTGCTGACCAGTGCCAGGCCTCTCGGGGACATTCGTATTGTGGACTTTGGCTTGTCCAGACGCATGGACAACATCACAGAAGTCAGGGAGATCCTGGGTACGCCAGAGTATGTGGGTAAGTCCTGCTTAATGCCCAGTGTCACCTGTGTCTTTTCTCATTGAGTGTCATTTATAATGACTAATGGGAGCCATGTGCTTTGTTGCAGCACCAGAGATCCTGAACTATGAACCCATTAGCACTGCGACAGACATGTGGTAAGTTGACTGGCATAGTTAATGAGACTATTTCCACTCATTAAAATGCATGCAATGCAGAAATCCCTTAGTTTGTGCTTTACCTCTTGGAATAAAGACATTCAGGACAGTGACATCATCACTTTGCCATGCAAACAACAGTTTTTCTGTCTAAAATTTTGATGATGAGCTCATCTTTGCTTCATGACATTGTGGAAGTCCACCAAATCCGTTGTGCCACAAACTGTCGCAATTCAGATTCTGCAACCGTCAAAGAAGACAAATTGCCTCATTTCTTTTCCTCCTCTCTTTTTATCAGGAGTATCGGGGTCCTGACCTACGTCATGCTGACGGGCGAGTCTCCCTTTCTCGGTGACGAAAAGCAGGAGACATTCCTCAACATCTCCCAAGTTAATGTAGACTACTCGCAGGACACGTTTGAAGGAATCTCTTCCCCGGCTGTTGACTTCATCAAGTCCTTGTTGGTTAAAAACCCCAGGTGAGGCAGTTTTTTAAATGAACAGTGAAGATGATGAGATGCTCTGATTATGGATAAAACTGCACACTGAGGATGTGAGTCAGGTCCATATCTGCACGGAAGTACATCCGCATACGTCTGAATGAGCATGTGTGGTAACAAGATTTACGTCAGTTAGGCAGGAAGACATTTCCCTTTTTGCAAAATGTGGTTGCAAGCTCACCTCATTTTGAAAGATATGATATTATCATTGTTCTCACATTTCCCCAAACATCAGCTTTAAGTGTCACCATGAAAAAAATGAAGAAGGTAAACTAAGCTGATTTCCAAAGGAAGCCAAGCAGTCATACTTAATTCTAACCCTAATTCTCCAACACGGAGCATTTAATTTGTCACCACAATTTGTTGATGAAGAGTAGCAGCAGCCTCTGTCTCCAGTCAGTATCATTTAAATGCCACAGATTAGTGGTGTCACTGGAAAAAGATTGAAGATTCCCTAGTGTCTGAGTAATCGGTGAGAAACTGAGGGGGGAAAAATCTTGAGAGCAAAAAAGTGATTTTATTATTTGTGGTTTTCCAAACCAAATGTTGAAAAGTAATATGGCTGACGTCTGAGTGAATCAAAAGATCCAGGCGAATTGTCGGTTATGTAAACTCTTCTGGAATTTCCACTCATCCACACTGTTATTTTGTTTGTGTGTGCAGGAAGAGAGCCACGGCAGAGGAATGCCTCAAACACCCCTGGCTGAACCCACTCCCACATCCCCACTCCCACCCGCACCTCCACTCCAGGTCAGCCTCGTCTCTGGACGAACCAGAGACAAGCCAGTCCGAGTCAGAGCCTGAGAGCCCGGCCCCCTCCCCGGAGCTGGACTTGATCGGCTCGTTCCTGGGGTGCCCGGGCCAGGGTGGACTAAAGGCGGGCCGCGATGCCTTCTCCTTCAGCGAGACCCCGTTCCCCACGCGGCCTGAAATACAGCAGGAGCTGATCTGCTGAGTGATGCTTCACAGGTTGGAGGGAAAGACAGGGACTGAACATATTCAATCTCGACGGACGCTGAGAGCGAATCAGCCTACAGCTTCTTAGACTGGATGTGGCACAGCGCCGTGCTGTATGGATGCTGTGCGCCTGCTGCTGCTGGCTGCTTCCACTGCTGTGACGTCTGTGAGCTGGGCTGTTTGATACCTCTGAATGTGTCTGTGTGTGTGAGAATAATACCTGCTACTGCGTGCTGATTTATGATTGCACGGCAGGAAAGTGAGAGGAATGAAGATGTGGGAGAAAGACGCATGAGGATTCTGTCGCAGGACTGCACTGCTGCCTTAAAAGTGACAGAACTGTTCTCAGCTTCACACTGAGGCTGGTTCACCCCTGCACGCACACTGGTTTCTCCTTTTGAAGGAGGAGAGGCAGCTTCCTGCCTCTTTGGGAAATGACTTCACTCACTGTGCACTCTCATCAAAACATGTTATGCTTCAGCTGACCCAGACATACCTTCTGTGATGAGTTCTCTTAAGGGACCGAAGGGTTTTGACAGATGGTTCTTCTTAACAAAGGAATTAAAAGCAACGCTGAAGCCACCACATGTTAACTTTCTCCACTGTTTGATATGCTTATTTATGATTTTATAATACCACTTCAGTCCCTTGAATAAACAAAAGCCCCGTATATGCCACAGTTTTAGATGGAGATGGTAGCATTCTTTTTTTTTTTAAGGACAATCAAGCACTTTTTCATTTCGTTATCTGTGTGTGTAATCATAAGAAACCAAAGGCTCATCAAGCACAGTCAGCTGTCACAATGTACTGTACATATTCATATTTATCCACCATCCACTGATTTTGTCACACAACCTTTTTTTTCACAAAGTGCCACTGTGTCAACCTCAAGTCTTTGTTAATATAAACAGTTTTACTTAAATTTTGTTTTATTTTGTTGGCTATTGCACAAGTTGCACACGTTTTTTGTTTTTTTTCGTACTTAACTGCAATGATGCCACACTTTCATTCTCAGGAATGGCAGGGGTTGAATGCAACAGTTCGGTTTTATGATTAGGATTGTAATAGATAAGCAATGACATGGTCAACTGAAGAGCACAGAGTTGAATAAATATGTGATATTTGCCTGCAGACGCTCGGGAGCAGAGAAATAGTTTTTGATTTCTCAAAAAAGTACTGAAATGTATATTGTGCGTTAGTATTAAAATTTATTTGTCAGGATAATGTTTTTTGTTTTGTTTTGTTTACCAGTGTATGAATGTTAACATCATTATATCAAGTCTTATTTTGTACTTTTACTTATTATTGTCTGCTCATGAATTTCAGGCAGGTTTGCACTTGTCCTTGTGGACATTATGTTTAAATGATTGAATGTTGATGGCATGCCTTGCAAAATGTAACGAAGAAAATCAAATACATGTGCATTTTGTATCAAACTAACGTATGTGTGACTATTTTTAAAGCACCAATAGTTATGAAATCAAACTTTTGTGAGCATTAGTTTATTTTCCAAATAGTTATATAGATCCACAGTTTTTTCTTTTAACTGTTTACTAGTGAACTTGCTTGGATTAAGAAAGTTAATCAATAATAGTCTGTGGTTAGTTTTCAAGTCTTACTAGAGGCTATGAGACTGCCTTGGATGATATATCACAACAACTCTGTTGCTTTTATTCTTGTAGTACCATCATTGGGACACAACTTTAAATAAATAACTAAATATGTGCAAAATTAATGATTTTCCTGAGCTGCGTTTAGTGCGAACATTGTAAAAAATGGTAGTTTTCTAAAATGCTAAACTAAGCTGTGCACTAGTATGAGTATGTTAGCATGCTGACGTTAGTGTTAAGCTCAAAGCACACAAAAAACTCATGGGTTTGTCAGGTTCAATCACTGTTTACAAATGAAACTACAACCGGAATGATAAGCTTTCAACTAAATCTATTGCTGAGGAATAAGCTTCCTTACAGACTTAATTTTAAAATCGCAGAGTAAAATTGTAAATATACTTCTTTACATATATACCTATATTTAATAGAAGAAACTAATCTTACATAAGAATATCCTAATCACAAAATTTAGTAAAACTCATGTGTCCTCTTGATCTTAAAGTAGGCTACTTCTGTCAGACACAAAAAAACATAAAACTAAAAATTGTAGATAACATTTTCAGATTTTATACTATGGTCTATAATATTAGCATATTAATGATGACAATTTGGAGCATCTGGGGCCTCAGACTGGAGACCAGTACTCACAAATCATCCCAGCATGTATTGCCATTGCTCCGTAAACTCCCTCATGATCCCAAATTCTGATTTTGACTGATGATCAACAGTAATATCTTTCAATGTCTCTGTTCTGTTCTGATGTTGACAGTTAACCTGCGAGTGTGTGTGTGTGCAGTCTGTGGAAGAGCAGATCTCATAACAAAACAGATTACGTGAGCTTGGATCATTGAAGCATCTGCTTTTCCTTTCAGTGAGTCTATTTACAGAAACGGAGTATCATAAAGAAAATAAAAGCATTCTCTTGAGCCGGTCAGCCATAAATATTCAGGAGCCTCTCAGAACAGGAAATGCCAGCATCCTGTGAGGAGGAACACAAAGTTTTTCCACTGTAGTAAAGTTACTTTCTCTCTCGTGCTCACACTCTTGTTTACTTGTGTCAGGTTAAAAAATATCCCTGCCATTCAATGTCCTGAAGTTTTGCTTTAATGTGTTCTTCCACTTGTGGTTGGCAGCAAGCCAGTTCAGCTGTGTCGTGGCCAGCCAGGAAAAAGCGGGGCTCCCTGCAGGGTCCTGCTCTGGTGGCTCTTGGCTGGACCGGCTGTTTCCCCTAAAGAAAATCCTGCTGCTGCATGAAGCCAAGGAATGCCAGAAATGTCTATAACTGGCTTCCTTCCTTTTTTCAAACCTTGTCCTTTATGCTTCTGTTCCCTTCTTCCATCCTTATGGGTTTCATCCCACACACACAAACATGGTCGTTGATGTGGATGATTAAGTGGCCGTGTCTCAGAGGGATTCTTGGAATCAATTAATTTCACTTTGATATTTAAGGTGACCATTAACAGATGATTTAAGACAGATGTGGATGTAGTTCATGTCATCTGCTGACCCACAGTGCACTGCAAAATCTGGCTTTGTAGCAAAAGAGCACTTGACTCCCACAGATCCAAACAAACACAAAGAGCCAGCCAAAGCTTGTTGTGTTGTCCAGATAACCTGCTCTCAACATGCACGTGGATTAAAACTATGAAGTCTGACTTAATGGTTTTTGAAAGCAACAAATATTCCAGTTGAGCTCAACAATGAGGCACTTTTTCTTAAAAAATCAATTTGTCTCTCTTGAGTTCTGGTTTTCCTTTCAATATCTAAAAACTAGGCTGATGATGTTTGCTACAGGCACTTGTTTCATCTTACACTGACCCACGGCACATCCTAAAGAATAAGTCTGGTTCCAGCTGCCGCACTTTGATCGCCTGAAGTTAGTTAAAATCCTGAACTGGTGTTTTTAAATGTAAATCTCTTTGGAAACTGGAAAACCTGTAATCTTCACTGTAAAGGTCAAAACTATCAGAACATAACTGCAGATTGTTTGACAGCATGGAAACATTTCGACTGTGGTATTACCATCTTAGTGCCACTAAAAGTTTAGGAACATGCAGTAAAATGCTATCATGGCTGAAATAGAATTTCTGTTTATGTAAAGAACTTTGTTTTTGTCTCATATTACTTAAATTGTCTAAAATGGAATTGAAAATGGAACATAATGACTGGGCTTTAAATTTCACACATTTACATAAAGCACCACACAGACCCCGATAGATAACAATTGCAGTAAGAACTACAAATATGAAATTTGCAAAAACGTGATGCCTTTGTTCAACCAACTTTTTTCATGTTTTCATTTCTTCAAATAATACAAAGTACTTTTAGTTTTTACCTTTTCGCGATCGCTGAACTGGAATTCAAGTGTATTTAGTTTCTACTGCACAAACACTCCTGTAAAGCAGTTTAAGGGGCTGATGCCTTGCTTAAAAGTACTTCTGTGGTGCATGCACATGGATATCAATTAAAAGCTGATCTTCAAGGCCCGGCCAGCTGCCTTTATGAATGGCCTACTTCTATCACTAGAAAGACTAAAAGGGAGCGTTCCCAGTTCTTCACAGATGCTCCTGTCTCTCTCTCCCCATCTGCCTGACCTCCTACTATGGTTGTCGCTCTCCTTCTCTCACTGTCGTATTTTCTGCTCTCCCTGTCTCTCTCAATCTCTAGATCTCTCCCAGTGAACTAGTTTTCTCAGAACTATAGTTCCCCTCACACCTTACATAATGGAGGAAATTCCTTTACGCTTGTGTTTCTGATTATTTCAAGAAAGAACACAGAAAACGTCAGGAAAACATGATCTATCCCCTGGGGTTGGAAACCCTGTAACCCGTAGCACTCTATAACCTCAGCTTTCTTCAACATAACCGTATATGATCTTGTTGATTTTGCAACGTATGGCTAATCAAATGATTTTCATCTTATCTTTTAGGAATGTGCTTAATGGGCGTCCACAACACCTTAACCTTTTAGCCACTACCGCCAAATGAGTTCACTCCTGCTACATCCCAGGGTGAGGGTTTGAACCCAATAATTCACATAGATCTTTTACATTTCCACACTTCCACAATAAGGTCAAGGACTACAGCCCATGGTTCACTGAGGCATGTCCACTAATCAGAAGGCCAATGGTTCGAACACTGACTCCTTTGTCTAAGTGTCCTTGGACAACATACTGAACAACAAGTTGCACCTAATGGTTGTACTGAGTGTGTGTGTGTGTGTGTGTGTGTGTGTGTGTCTGTGTGTCTCCCTATATGCACTTGTTAGTGTGAAAAGAGAGAAAGATGGAGAAAGAAGTAAAACCCCTGATCCTGCACAACTTTGAGCTTCAGGTACTTTACATCAGATCATTTTAGCTGAAGCTGAAAGAAATGGAGAGAATGGAAAATGGAATGGAGAGAAAGTAGAAGAAAGAATAGAAGAATCAAGAAAAGAAAGAGAAACTGGAGAGAGAGAAGAAGTAGAGGAATTAACTGAAGAAGAGAGAGAAGAAAGAGAGGATGAAGATGTTCCCTAGTTTTCTCTTTATGGGCCAGATCTTGTCCTAATCCCCTTTCTCATCCTTCCTCTCCCTCAACCATCCCCTCATCCTGACTCCCCCATCCCAAGGCCCAACAGTCTCCTCATAACACCACATTTTAATTCACTAGATCATAAATATTAGTCCTTTAATCATCTGATTTTTTTCCTCAAGATTCATTAATTATTATCTGAGAAATCAGTGAAACATATCCTATCTCATAATCTTAAAAACTACAAAGAAGACTGCAAAGTGTGAAGAGAGAGCTACAGTGTACAGTATTCTGAGAAGGAAGGTGGATGATCACAATGCAGCTCTGACTGAAGAAAGCCCAGCTCTGAAGAAGGATGCAGCACAAAACACTGCACTGAAAAAGCCGGCTGCAGAAAACAAAGCTCTGAAGAAGGATGCAGCACAAATTGCTGCACAATTACAGCAGGAAAAACTGCACTAAAAAGCATTTGTATTATGTTGCCTTTTAACAATAATTACAATAATAAATGTACATTTATAAAAACATTGAATTAAATTTTTAAATTATTATATACATTATCTCAACAATTCCCACAATGAACAGCTCTGACGATTGAAATGAAATAAAAAACACTCCTCATGAACTGGAAGTAAGAACCAAACTCAACGTGGACGACATCTGCCTTGACCAGTCGGTGACTGGAGAAAAA